AAGTCAATAACTAACTCCTAAGGCATATGTTTGATGATTTGGATGATTCAGTGTTAGATTACTGTCGTTGTAGACTACAATAATAAGAACACGTACTACAACTTGTAGTACATGTTCTTATTATTGTGTGTCGAGAACGTATAACTGGGCAACTCAAATCATGCAGGTGAAGGCCAATGTAAACTCGCAAGAGCCACATATCAAGACTCAGTTAGATATGTGTATGCGCGCAGCTGCAGAATGCATGCATATCACATAATTGTATGAATCTAATGATCAACCCCTAGAGGCACGAATAGAAGACTGGCCATAGCTCGGCCCGAGCAGAACATGCGTGTCCACATTGATTGTGGTGTCACAATTACACGCAGGCGCCGTAAGCGGTCGCACATAAACACCGGTGATTACACAGTAAGCGGTACACGCGGACATTTCAGCCAACTTGCAATTTGAAATTAAGTTGGAAAGTTGATTGAAATGGAGAGGAGTGCACTCGCTATCACCCGTCCAGAGCTTTTTATGTGCACTTCTATATAACTTAACGAAGAAAAACGCGAATGGAGAAAAAAAGGAGGCTGAAACATATGAGATTCAGCGGGGGAAATATGACTACTGAGAAAAGTCGTGATGTGACTAAGACGAGAAAGAGACTAAGATGAACCATCTACTAAACTGGTTCGACGTAATATACAGAGTTCTCTATACCAGATGTTCCCACTGCAAGCTTGATCATACCATGGTCACCCCATTCCTCATTCCAAGAGTTCACCGTCAACCAATAATCTTGCCCGGACTCGATTCCCCAACCAATAATCCTAAGACTATGAATACCTTGGAAGCTACCAGTTTTGTGCACGTAGACACCAGACTTGTATAATCGGAAATCTTCATACATAGAAATCATCCCGAGAACCTGAAGTATGGAGGCGATCCGCTCAGACAACGAGCCACATAATCCGAGAGAAATCCACATTCCCAACGGCAAAGTCGAGTTCGGTTTTCTTGAATAACACAAATTGCGGAACGAGCGAAGCGAGCGGAGCATATACCGCAACGACAGGCACTTTCGCGTTGTGCGTGCGTGCGTGCAGAAGTGTTCTTGCTTAACTGCGAAGCGTGGGGGCTCTCAGATAGATCACATGACTCCTCTATATGCCGGGGTGTGGGCAAAAATTGGAAAACTCGATTATACGAACAGCTCGAAAAGATATTCTCGGAAAACTTTAATGACGGAAAAATGTCCTACCCGGGGATCGAGCCGGGGACCTAAACCAAATTCATTGATCTAATCAATAGACGTGGACTAAGTGAGCTCCGCCCCTTCGCCACGAAGGCCTAGTAGTAGAGATTTTAACAAAATCAATCAAGTTGATCGGATCATTCATAGAGACGTTAGCGTCATCGCAACTGCTAGAATTCAGCATCGAGATGACGTGAACTCCGAAGCTAAGCTACAGTAGCTTACGGGTCCATTATCGAATATCTCTTGCTTGATCTTCTGGGGAGTTGCTGGTAGACGGCCAAAGCTCTTAGCACGGTGAAGATCTCTAACATAGAGTAAATATGAAGTCTTAATCTCGTGTGCTCCTACTGCTGCAGGCTGGTCTTGTATGATTTATTGGTGCATTTAGTTTTGCATGCAGGAAGAGGGAGAGGCGCCTACGATCAGAGAATCCACTACCATGTGATGATGCCACGAGGGTTACACGTACTGCCGAACATTTGGGATATCTGCTGGCCGCTGAGCTTACATGATTGCACTTCGGGAATGGATACGGCCAGCAGCCATCAGCGCTAACCAGTTGGCTTGCCGGTTTGAATTCATTACCTTCGAAGGCTACGAGTGATGCTAATCCGGCGAAGAGTCGATGCCGGTCCAAAACTCACCCAACTTCAGCGATCTGAGTTGAATATTCTTACCAGTAACAATGCCATGATTTTTCAGGAAGTTCAGACCTTCAAGCAGGTTGCCACCCTCACAGCCCTTCGCTCTGAAGATGAAGTGAATCTTAGCTGTCATTCAGAGAACGCATTGCCATCGCCCGTGGTTGAGTGTATATCTCTCACTTAGGACATCCATTAGCAGGATTGCAACATGAAGTGAAGTATCCGAGTGATAGGATATTTTGGAAGCTACCGCCGGACTTGATGCACACACGATCATTGAACATCCCGGTTGAGCCAGTAGCCCAGCAGTTGTGACACGCACCTTGATCCCTGAAAGATGGACCTCCATCCAGGAGTTACCATAACAGGAGTAGAAAGGACTACCTCACATGCCCAATGACTTCAGCACAAGAGGCAAACTTCTGCCGAGCGTCAAAATCACTTGGTAAATTCGTCAACTCCGGCTTTGTGGATCCGAGGAGGCGAGTTTCGTCATCAGAAGTCGAAGAGGGCTTCGGACCGTTAGGACACCCAGTAGGGACATCTTTGATTGACATACCTGTCGAGTAGTAGCGCTGGTTTGCCGCTCGAGGTAATGTTGAGCATGAAGTTCATCGCGTACCCTTGAAAGGTGGCTGATCTTTGGAGGCCGTCCACGAGTTCTGCATCGAGTTGATCTCGTCAACCATGGATTGCAATAAAGCCGGCTTAGTGTTGTTGAAGAGCTCAATCAAGAATTCAGTTGGCGCTTCTTCCTGCAGAAGTACCTCTTCCAGCTGACCTTGGAAGCGGGAGAAATGTTCAGAGTGCTCATCGGGAGTATAGACGGAACCTCAAAAGAGAACCGCAACGCTTGAGCGAATATACTTGAAACGTTCATACCACGCAAGTCAGCGATCTTGTCGAATACGCCTCGGATGTTCGGACTGTCACCCTGAGATAGGGTAATCAAGGCGCACAGCCCGATGAATAGAAGAGAATTGCTCATATGAAAGGGAGAAGAATAGCAGAGCCTAAAGCTAACATATCATCACGATGAATATGTACATAGTTACACTCGTTACATAAGAGAATACACATTTCACGGAGCATCTCGACTGACCATCGGGGACGTTGAGCAGAGGCGTTTCCAGATCGGGAATCCCCGAGCTGCTTCTTCCCTTCAGCATTTACAAACGTATAGGAGGAAGGGTTCAGACGTCTTTGCGGGCTTTCTCCCTCGCGGCTAGTCTAGTCCAGCCCAGTCTAAGCCCCAGATAGGCATGTGTGCCGTTCTTTCAGTGCGCGCCGCGCACAAACCATGTTGTGCGGCGCACAAATGGGAGCCATATTTAATCGAGGATAATATTGTTATTGCCGCGTCGTGGAAACTGTTCATTCATTGGCTTAGCGAACGACGGGACAGTCAATCACTTGCGATATTAGCTGGTTACTAAGCGTGTCGTCGAAACGTGACGCGGAATTGAACGAGCCTACTTGTTCGGGGGTGTCTCATTGTGGACGACCACACTGTAGACTCTACAGTAGTTCGCTTCAGTATAGCGAGCTCTGTAGCTAGCTCTACAGTAGTAGCTACTGTTGACCGAGTCAGAGTGTAGAGTCTACTAGACTCTTCAGTAGTCTACAGTGTAGCTCATCAAAGGGGAAGTTCACTGAAGTCCAATCAACTTCTTCAGCTGATAGTTTTCGTCGAAATGTTCATCACTTCCGCTGTGCAGTCCCTCGCCTACCTCGCTATCGTACCAGACCACGGAGTCTTCGGTGTCGACCCTCCTAATATCCAACGTGTCAAGAAGATTCTTCCTGAGAAGGACTTCGAGTACCTATGATAGGTAACCTATTCCCCCACCGCAATGGACAGGCAGGACCGAAGCCGTATACCTACTCCGGCCTCCTCGCTGCGGTGGCCAAGTTCGACAAGTTCTGCAATGAAGCTCACGGGAATCTAGACTTGGATACAGCATGCAAGAAAGAACTCTCCATCAATTTCGCTCACTTCACTCAAGAAACTGGAGAGAACAGTGGCTGGGGACCGGCCCCTCGCTGGCGTCAAGGTCTCTACTTCACCCACGAAATCGGGTGCACCGCCGTTGCATGCCCGTATTGCTCATCGAGTTCCGAGTATCCATGTCAGGAAGGTCAAGGCTATTATGGCAGAGGTGCACTGCAGCTATCATGGAATTATAACTAGGGCCCGTTTTCGCAGTACGTTTTTGGTGACAAGTATAAACTATTGAAGGATGCGGATTCCCTTCTTACTGCTGAGGATGGTATGCTAGCCTTCGCTAGTGCTATATGGTTCTTGATGACCCCACAGCCGCCTAAGCCCGCCATATATGATATCGTCGTTGGGAAATTGCAGCCCACTGCCAGAGATAAAGCTGGAGGGCGCTATCCAGGTTTTGGCGAGACTACCCTCATTATCAACGGCGCCTTGGAGTGTTCTAACCCCAACGATGCCCGAGCAGTGAGTCGCATAGACTTCTACAAGAACTTCACTAGCTTCTTCAACGTGGCTACGGGTGATCATCTCTCATGCGGCGGAATGAAGGCCTTTTAAGGTCGTATCAAATGGTATTTCATTTCAAGCATCGAACACACTTGACCCTCGTCAGGGGGTTCGAATCGTTCATGGTCCAATGAAAGATTCGAACCGTTCATGTTCATGACGGTCATTCAGTACCGTCATGACAAGAAGTCAACCCGGGGTTTGACTAATGGGAAACTTAACTTTGACTCTTAATAGTTATGACCCGATATGACAATCCCGAATTGACTGTAACCCAGGACGTATTTGTCTACTTAGGGCCCTGAGAGCAGATTTTCCGTGAGGCAACACAGTCATGGTTGGAAAGACCAGATGTGAAGG